GGTTTTACCTCCATAAAAAACTCCAGAAAACAGCAGCTTCCATGAAAAACAGGACAGGGTGAAAACAGCAGGAGGAGAATGACCCTGACCACCCCGAAGACAAACAGGATGCGCCAGGATCTCCCAGAGGGCTTCGACCACCCCGAGAACAGGTAGGATGCGCCGAAAAACGCAACTCCAGGCCGTAATCTCCCGCCGATGAAAGGGGATAACAAAAAATCCTCCAGAACAGAATGTTAAGCTCACCACAGGTCCAGGTTGGTTGGATCATTCTGTCATGAGGTGAGGGTGGAGATGGCAGACCATGTGTGGTGGAGGGTTCAGGAGGCAGGAGAGCAGGCACGGATGAAAAATAAAAATGGATTTAATAGCAACCAGGAGAGATAGGACAAACGAGGACATGCACATTCAATGATCCAACCAAGACAGGTACAAGACGGGAGGTATAAATACACAGGAAGAATTAGGAACACATGGGCATAGTAACGAGGGGCAGGTGAGAACAATAGGGCTAATTAAGGCAGGAGTGACACAGTCAGGGAGGCCGGGGCAGATCATGACAGGTTCACTTGGCAGGATAAGTTTATTTTGACCAGCGCCGCCCCTTCTGACAGTCTTATAGCTCTAAAGATAATCTTATCAGATAATCCTACCATGTGTGGTGTGTTACGAGCACTTGGTACACTCAGAAAGATATCAGGACTACTCTGATCATAAATCAAGGCTTCAAACATGTTGGATGGTCTTGGTCTAATTTTTAGTCAAACATGCCTGTTGAATGTGACGTCTAGCCAATCAGGAAGCAAGGTAACACAAGCGTGCAGAACCCTTCTTTACTGTGGTTTTTAGTCCTGTTTTCTCTGAATGGTGAATTTCCATGAATGAAACATATGGAAGTAATATTATCTCATAATATGACTTTCCTTATACATTGAATTTGTATTCAGTGAAATTATGTATTTAAAAATGTTTAACCTAAAATACAACAGAAATACTACAACAGAATTTCAACATAAAAGTTTCAGCTGTAAAAATTCTAAATCAGAAATTTTACAGCAAAATTTCAACAACTGAGGAGACCTCCCGGTGATTCAAGCCAAAGTAATCATCACTCGATCAATCGGGTTTTTAGCCAATCAAATTAAGCTTATATGATCACTTGACACCAGTGACGTGTCGACTGGATTGAGTGGCGATTGCTTTGGCTTGGGTCACCAGGAGGTTGTTTCAGTTTTTGCTGATAATTATTTTTTGTTAAAAATGTAGTTGTATTTTAAATTAAAAACATTCAAACACATAATTTGACTCGATAAAAATTAAATGTCATAAATTCAAAGTAAAAAAAAGAAAATAATGTCATATTCTGGTGAGACGGTTTGTCTTCCACAGAAAGCAGTTTTTGCAGAGTTGCTGCTCACCGTAGACTAGGAGAAAAACTAGTGTTTTGGTGATTTTTCTTTATAAACCAACTCTCTTGTTTGAAAATCAGCCAAAACTCCTGCTGTGTGAACCAGACTTTGGCTGATCTGTTATCTCCATATACTTGATAAGTGAAGGAAAACAGATGAATTGGTTGAGAAAGATGACTTGCCTTAAAGATTATTTTTGAATAAATAGAAATAATTCCATCCCAAATTTTGCTTGACGTGGCCTCGACTGTAACCTCATCACTACTGTAGAGGAGAGTCCTACGTTGGTCTTTTGTGTGACGAATGTTTTTCCAACTTTGAAAAGTCCTAGGATTTGAGTCTGATCGCCTTTGAAACAAATCACCCACTAACCAGGAAGTTGACTAACTTCCACTCTACAAATGGAGCTGTTCCTATAGACAGCTCATACATCTGCAGAGGCCAGGATCCATCATTTAGGATAAGCTGTGGGAAGAAAACGCTCATTTACTGCAGCCAATACAGCCTATACCTAGGTATAGGTCATAGCTCAGCCAGCCAAGGATGAAGTGACTTATGCAAGGACACTTGATTTGTACCTGCTGAGGGTAGTGAGAGTGATTGTCATGTTTCTCACTGAGCCAACCAGCAACCTCCTAGCTGTGACAAGGTGATGCATTTTTTTCAGATTAAAGGTTAAAGGGTGAGGGTGCTTCTTTGGATTATCTTGGTAGTTTTATTATCTTTGCCTTCAGCACTCCCCCTCTTACCACTTTCTCTTTACACAGAGCTCCAGTTGAAACATTTAGGAATCTTGCATCCTTCAAGTCCTAAATGACAGCACACATTCTGGAACATTAATAAATAACGCATTTGTTCTCACAGCATGACTACAAACCCGGAATAAACTCACGACCGACTCCTGCCATGGTTCCCGGCGTCCTTCACTTGCTATTCATAGGATGTGATCATCTTTAATTTGTCAGCGTTCCTTGTCGAGTCTGTGTGTTTTCTCCCCCCAAGTTAACCCGCTATTGAATATTCTACACAACATGAAACAAATATTACTTTCTGCTGACCCGGAGCAAACATGGTCCAGTGGGGCATCTGTTTGTTAAACACAACTGGACTGGACTTGTACCGGAATATTTTTAGACCTGATGAGTAAATCTGTCCTTGAGCAACACAATCAGTTCAAGGCTACACACACTTATGAACACAGGACACCAACTGTCTGTCCTCGGTAGGCGGTGTGTTTTCTTGATGAAATATGGATGCCCGAGGGCCACACGTGTCTTTACACATAACAGGGTTGCTGAGCATGTGGGATGCTGAGGAAATTAACAATTAGCAAGCAAATCAAGATTGATTAAGACTAATAGGTGTTTTCTATTTAACCTTTATTCCTTCTGAGCTCTCATCATTAATTAGTTATCTCCAATTAGGAGGAAGATGTTCTCCCAAGGATACGCAGCATATCTCTGTAAAACTGATCCTAATCTGAAAATAATTAAATCCCAATTGATTATATTAGGATATAAAAGGGAACTATGCAGCTGGGATAAAAAGGATAGTAACCAGGAAAAAAATGACTAAATGGGATTGATACCTATAATTTCTGTGCTAATGGAGATAAAATAACCTTCAGTTAATGAATTAATGGTGATTAAACTGACCAGTGGGTGAATAACAAAGATTAATGAACAAACCAGTTGCTTTAACCAAACGATGGAAAAAATAACATGTCAGCTGTTTAAAATGAGTTGACGTAAATTTTGTTAGATGAGGTTAAATTGCTAAATTGATTAAAGTAAAAAATAAATAGTTTTAAAAAAGCTGTCAAATGGGGTGAATAATCAGCTAAAAGCTTAAGTTTGTTAAGTGGTTTGCTAACAGTTAAAATAAGCTGTAATTTTCTATGAAACATCAAATTCATGTTTTCGATCACACATCTTTTCATTTTTTATTAGCAAATTTATTGACATGCGAAAAATTATCTCGATAAGAGTCAGAAATTTCGATAAAGATACATTTTCGCTTTCTTGCCCCGCCCTACTCAGAAGTAACGAGTTAATTTTGATCTATAGGTTTCCAAAATATCAGTTAGAAGGCTTGAATATTCAAACCTGCTGACCAGGTGTGTTTGCAGCTCCACCAACATGAGTCGTTATGGTTATTCCTTGCCATTGTGCAAGTATCTTAAATAACGGATAAAATTAGCTTTGTCCTGATGCTGTTTCCATCACAAGATGGCACGCAAATGTTTTCCTAAACAAAATGTCTCAGTCTACTGCTATTGTTCAAAAGAGAAGCCATGACACCCCATTTATGGGAGCTGCCATGTTGAATTTCTGAGGTCTGAGTTGGGATGAGAGGCTGAAAGTCCTGCTAAAAAAGGGGCTACTCACAAACCAACAAGAGTTGAAACCTATGAACTTATCTGAAGTTTTGATAGTTCGATCAAGAAAATGCCCTATTGTTAATATGGAGGGGGTGGGGCTTAAAACTTATACTGAAGCCAACCACTTGGGGGCCTGTTGATGTGCTTTGGTTGTAACGTCCGTGCTACATGATTCTGTCTTATTTCTCTGAATGTTTAATGGTAGGAAGGGAGATCGAAATAAGATTTTGAGGCTACCTTCTCAGTGGCCTGGTGGTAGAGTCCTGGGACTGGGAGATTGGGGTTCACATCCCGGTCTGCTCATACCAAAGACTTTAAAAATGGGACCCAATGACTCCCTACTTGGCACTCAGCTGTGACGGGTTGGATTGGGGGGGTGTTAAACCACCAAATAGTTCCCAAGCACAGCTCACTGCAATTAGAGCCCCCTCTGCTGGACGAATTGTGTAATAAAACCATTTTCATGTTAGCTAGCTACGGGTGTACACTTTCTATTCACGCAAGAATTGAAGTCAGGTTGAGTTTTGTGTTGTGTACCAGAACCTCTCACACAGCACATAAGACAACACGTCTGCCCAGCTGTCTCCTCATCCATACGGGACATCTCCTATACTTTTTACGCTTTTCTCCGCACGTAATGGCAAAGATTGCCAAGAAAGAGGGTTTGCTGTATTTATACATTAATAAAATTGATCCGCACCAATGTTTACTCCCTACATGCCATTCATTCTTCTTCTACCTCCAACCCCCATAAACCCCCTCATGTCCCCTGACCTCTTCGGCAAGCCTAAAGGACAACAGACACCAATAACAGCCCAACAGCCTCCTCTCTTCCTGGTTTCTGGGGCTGAAGTTCCGACGTGTGGCTAACAAACGTACAGTGTGAGTATTGGGTCGTACAGTTAGTGATGGAGCTGAATGCAACAACTGAAAAAGTCACAGTTTAATACCATTTCCTGCCTTTTTGCTTTTGCATTACTGCATGTTCCATGATATAGACACAGATACCTCTGTCAGCTCGTAAAAATGTCCAGTAAACCTTCCGATCCTCCGATATTGTTAGATAAATTCAGTAAGTTTGAGCAAGAAAGCAAATGTATAAAACATTTACTCTACCCATCTCCACATTTGAAGCACAAACATAATTTTAAACCAAGATTAAGCACTTCTTTCAATTCTTCAGGAGTTTTGTTAAAGCAGATGGTACTCACCTCCAGATACACGACCCAGGGCATGACCAGCGAGGCCACCAGCAGGTCAGCCACAGCCAAGCTGACCACCAGGTAGTTGGTGGTTGTCTGGAGCGAGCGTTCCCTCAGCACAGCCAAACACACCAACACATTCCCAAACACAATGGCCAGGATCAGCACGGAGTACAGCATGGCGTAGTAGTTGCGCTCCCCCTCATCCTTCCCCGGTGCATCTGAGCTTTCATTCTTCTCATCGTATGCAAGGCGGTCCGACTCGTTCAAGAGCCGCTCGGCACTGCTAAACATCGCCATGGAGACGTCCCGGTGACATGGGAGATGAGATGTTTGGCAAACCTACCCAAAGAAAAGAAGCATTGTTTAACTCTTCTTCGGATTCCGCAACAGTAAATTTCTCACACCTCACTAGTCAGATAAGTGCATCATAATTCCACGACAAAGGCCTAGAAGGAGTTTCCCTCTCAGCAACAATATTCCCTTCAGCTGATAAATAAAACATCATGTCTGAAAAGCATCCCAGAGCTTTACTTTGTCTGTTTATATGCATTTCTTTAGTTTTTATGCTGAATAAAAAATGAAAGCAATATCATCAGCTTCTCTCTGCTTCCCTTAGACCTCATGAAAAACAGCAGCAATGTACAGCTGAATCCCTCTGTGCCAAACATTCATTTGTTCCTCATTTATCCCTAAATATAGTGTGTGGTACTGACAATAGAGGAGATAACTTTAATGGGGGTTGGCAGCGGGCTTTTGAGCAGTGTCAGTGAGGTTAGCTCATCATGGACGGCTAACAAGTACAAAAAGATGTCCAACTGGCTCTGCTCCCACGTTCTGCTTCTTGCACTCCATCCTTCCTCTCAGTTTGTCTCCAAACCTCCCAGTCTGGCTTGAGTCCAGACATCAGAGCGGTTGGTAATTCTCACACCATGTGTCCAGATACTAAACAAACCAATCCATCTTAATCCCACTCTCCTCCGTTTCCAGTGACAGGATTAGGGAGAGAGTGAAAGAATCAGATCATATTTAAAGACCTGGCTCACACCCAGGCTTTTAATGATTTCCTGGGTCTGTAATTCCACTCAGCTACTCAATGACTGCAGTATCAAGCACTCCACAAAAGAAGCTGAAGAAGCAGGAGAAAACTACTGATACAGATTACCTGCAAATATTTTAGATTGGGAGATTTTTTATGAAAGCACATCTACAGAAAAGAAAGAAATGTAAAAGATTTCATCTAAGTGTATCGGTTAGTGTTTGATTATCGAGCCAAAGGATCATTTCCACCTGGAAAACAAATAAAATACACAAAACGGATGCTCCACTTCACTATTTTTGTCCATCTGACCCAAAACTGATTATTTTACTTAACTTAATTCTTCACATGCACGTGCAGATTTGGCTGCACGTGCATGTGAAGAATCAGACTGTACTGTATCTTAGAAAATGATTAATTGGGGTTCAGGACTTTGCAGACAGATTCTGACTGAATTATTTTTCTTCTATGTTTGTTATGACAAATTCATCACATCTGTCTGCGCATTAAATGTTGTCTGGGTTTAATAAACTTGGAAAAATGCAGAGGAATCATTTTGCAAACTAAATGATCAGAGCACAGGCAAAAACAGCGTTTCTCTAACGCGCGTCTTAATGGATTTGGCGCGGTTTCACTTCCCAGGCAAAAGGTGCGCAGCTTTCCTTACCTGTTACCGTTTCCCAGCAGAGTATTCATCAGAAGCCTTGGATGAACGGCTTCATCCGTGCAGAAATTAAAGTTGTCCGGTTACAGCGTCCAGCAGCAGGAGCGGGAGGTGGGCTCGGTGCCATGACGCACACATGGGGGATATGAACGTGCAGGAAGCTCCCTCCAAAAAAATATGGAAGGTTGTTGCGGAATCTATCCAAAATCTGCGCCTCGAAGGCTGCTGCTTCTGCAAGACGCGCTGAGCTCGGTTTGATTTCTACGTGCGCAGCGGAGACGCGCGTAAGTGGAGACGGCAGGTGTCTCCCTTCGCGCCCAATTAGTCCAACCGGAAAATGACTGTTAGACTGGATTTGACCCTTCCTGTCAAGTTAATTAAAAATTTTTTGTTTTCAGGTTCACGTGTTGTGCTCTTGAAGCCCCCACAACCAGGTTGGGTCATGCTTTGCTGGAAGTGGCACTCAAATAAAAATAGCCTAAGGTTGTCCTCATTAAAGAAGCGGTCACACACAAAATAAAGTCAAACAGAATGAGGGGGGGGGGGGGGGGGATGGAGTAGAGACGTGTTAAACCTGTATGTCTCCTGAGTGTCCTTCAATCATGACCTGGCAGGAAAAAAACATCAATGACAATATGGGAATCTGGAGTTGGAATCTCACCTTCCCAGATGTTTTTTCCCCTTAAATTAAGATAAGACAATCAGCCCAGCACCACAGACCAAGGCAAGAGTTGAAGCAATATTTAATTAAAAGTCCCAGCATTCCAGGAATCCAACTCACCTGCTCCTGCTGGATAAATAATGGGATTATTCTTTTAAACATGCATAATCTCATGCACGAGCTGCACTCACGTGAATGATTCTTAGCTACGAAACTGAGGAATTTTAGCCCAGTATCTGTAAAATTGGTAGAGTCCAAGCCATTATTAAGTTTGATTAAAACCATTAGCCCATCTTGGATTGGTTGGTTGGTTGACTAAGATTAAAAGTGCAATGTGTAAGAACCATCGACATAGTAAAATGACAAACATCACAGCCATTTGTAGCTTAATAGCTTGAACACTAATTGAGCTGTAGCCATTTTTATATTTACTATTGACCAGCATAGCTCATCTGAGCAGACTTTAAGTAAACACAATAGTAAAATGTATTTACAGAGCATCTTTGACAGATAAGGATATTGCAAAGGTCTGTAGAGCACAAGTAAAAAAAAACTGGATAAAATGATTAATAACGGTAAGATCATTTACCCCTAAAACGTTGCACCCAAGGAGAGTAGACCAGACTAAGAAATAATACTACAACTCCAAAGGTGTTCAAATGAAGGCAACTGAACTTCTTCGGTTTCTTGAAGACGTTTAGCTTCTCCTCCATGGAGCTTTGTCAATTCTGACTGGAATATGGGAGAGTCAAGCTTATAAACTGTAGATGTCTATTGGTGCTTAATGAGCTGAAACTACCTATGAATACCCCTCCTCCTATACCACCAGGGAGCCGTTTACGTTGTTAATACCTATTGTGTTAGAATGGATGTTTTGATTAGAAGCAGGGGGGTGTGACCTAGAATTAGTTTTAGAGCTGCATTGTAGGTTCTAGAAAGGCGAAACCTGAGACCTCCTCCTCTGTTTAATGAAGGCGTTTCCCGTTACACATAGATAGCTTCCTTTACTGAAGTACTTTACTTCCCTGTACTTTGTCATCTTCAAAGGTGTGTCCTTGTCCTTCAAGTGCAGGTGGACTGCAGAGTCTTGACCTGAAGAGGTGGCTCTCCCGTGTTGTGCCATGCGCTTGTGTAATTGTTGTTCAGTTTCCCCAGTGTAAAGATCTGGACAGTCGTCACCACACTGGACTGCATGAACAACGCCACTAAGCTTCTGTTTGGGTGTTTTGTCTCTTGGATGGACCATTTTCTGTCTGAGGGTGTTGTTGGGGTTAAAGTTTACCAGGATTCTGTGTTTGGAGAAGATTCTTCTCAGCTTCTCTGAAACCTGCCACGTATGGGATGGTGGTGCTTTTGTGCCTGTTGTCCTTGCGTTTCTATTTTTGGCTGTGGATTATTTCCCAGATTCTTTGTTGAATTCACAAAGGCCCAGTTAGAGTGTCTGCAGTTTTTCGAGAGCTTTCTTGACGTGCTTCTTTTCCTCTTCTAGAACTGGCAAAGCTCCTCGGATGATAAGCTAAACGTCTTCAAGAAATCAAAGAAGGCCGGTTTGCCTTCATTGGAACCCCTTTGGACTATCATCACCTGGATGACTGAGAACCTTCACCAGGAGTACTGAAAATCAGAAAATATAATCAGAATAATTTAAAAGTCGTTTGTGGTTGAGTGAGCAATGATTATTTCCTGGAGGTTTCAATGAAATCGTTCCAGTGGTTCATGAGATATTCTGTTAGAGGCAAAAACGTTATTGGTACCCATTAGTCTTTGATAGAGGGGTGATGAGTCACAGCTTGTGAAACCCACACAGGAAATGCATAACTCCTTATCCTGCAACTGAGAAAGCTCCTGTTTCCACATATCTTTAACAGCAGACACAGGTGACACTATAGATTTTATTACACTGGTCCAGTTGTTTTAAAAGGCACCCAGCAGCAGGAAGCTGACAGACTGCTCTGTGGAACCGCAGTAGAGCTGACCAACATGACGAACGGATCATTTTTCACTGAAAAAAAAAAAACGCCGACCAGTTTGTGACTTAACTAATGTAAAAGTGTCCGAACGTCCTTGGTGCTCATCAGAAACACGACCCATCCTCCTCCTCTGGCAGATTTCTCTTCATCTGCAAAGAGCTGGAAAGAATCCTAATGTGTCCTGCAGCTGGAACTGAAAGTGTTCGTCATTCATTAAATATAAATCTTTCTGTGTTCTTAACTGCGTCTGCATCTGTGCAACACGCATTGTCGAGGAAATCCATCTCAGTCTCCACAGCATGAATGGCAGCCGGCGGAAGTGTGTAATTTATCCTGGATTGGCTCTCGCCTCACTGAGTTAGAGATTTATAATCGAGATGAACACGAGCCGATGACAGCGTCTTACGGGTCAGAGCCTCTTCCCAACTCGCTGCAATACATCCAGACATTCACTGCCCTCCTAATGTTTCCTCTGAGGGATAAACTATCCACAAGCTGAGTAAAATATGATCTGTTTTCCCTGCTTGCATAGACTCCATGCAAACCATAAAGCTGGTGTTGTCAGGATCCTAACGTGAAGGTCAGGCCTGGTGATTTTTAACCCTCCCACTCTCCTAAAAGGTGTGACCCCCGCGAGGAAAGTTGACCATTGAGCAGGGTTGATGGTTTATCCCTTGGGTCCATGTGGCAGGGGTGAGGAGTGAGCACCACCTCACCCCTGCCACACGGACCTCAATGGATAAACCATCAATCCTGCTCAATGGTCAACTTGCCTTGCGGGGTCACCCATAAAGACAGTGGGAGGGTTAAAAGTTATGATTTAGGGAACAAATACTTATTTTGAAGATTTGGCTGAAATGTTGCTGCCATCTACTGTTTTAGGAGTAGAAATGTTTTAATTCTGCTCAAACCTGGAGGTCTAGGTGGCAGATTTACTCAACTCCATGTGACAGGGTCACGGTGGGGTCGTTGGAGAAACAGCATGTAGTGGATAACCAGGAAATAGCTCTAAACATGCAATAACAAAAATGACGCAGAAAAGTCTCGAGTCATTTCCTATTCATACTATCAATGAGAGGAAAACTCTTTTAACCGTTTAAAATAGTCTTGATCAAGACATTTTTGTGCTTTTTAAAGTCATTTTATAACTTTTCTTTGGGGTTTGGCAGCTTTTTCACTCGTTTTTAGAGAAAAGCCGATTTGACTGGTAAAGATCTGAATATGATGTCTACTGTGAAGTTGCCGGAAACAGATTTATCGGCCAAGTTTGTAACACAATCAAAAGATTTGGCTTTAGTTTCACACGGTCACATCACACAATTATCATTAACAAGAAAAAAAAAAATCAGTAACCGAGAGAAGCACATGAAAATAGAACAAAAGAGCAAAGAACAGCAGATAGAGGTAGTGAAGAGTGCTTTTTGTCCACCATAACGTAGCTTATTACTCTGACAGTTCATCAGAGAAACAGCCTGGGGAGAAACCGCCTCTGTGGCGACCGTTTTCTTTTTAAATGCTCTGTAGTGCCAACGTGATGGTACAAGCTTGACTAGACTGTTTGCAGGGTGTGTGGGTTCTGCAGACATGTCAGCGGCCCTTTGTCTGACTCTGGACCTGTAAACATCTTGGATGGAGACAACAGAACAAATGTGCTTGCAGCAGGGCAGATGGGGAGAGTCACTACACTCTAAAAAATTATTGCTAGAGTGCTGTTTAAAATTTAGACTCCATTTCTGCTTATTGACTTATATAGAGGTGATTCGGGTAAAATGACACCTTCATATGCAGAATTTGAAAAAAAAAATCCCTTAATAGGAAATTTATGATGGTTAAACTTATTTTTCTAATTTGCATCTAAAGCCTGGTTCACACGGCAGCCACACATGTGAACACAAAACCACGGATATACCAGTATATCTGGTTCTAGTTGGCTACGACACACATCCGTGATAAGTCGTGTTTTTCATTTGAAGGAAAAAAGCAACTTGTCACTACTACCTTTTTAGCTGTACTAGATTATGGTGATCTTATATAAATGAATGCTTCTTTAACTGTGCTACAAAAGCTGGACTCGGTTTACCATGCGTCTCTGAGATTCATCACAAACTGTAGAGCCATAACACATCACTGTGAATTATATTCACAAGTGAAATGGCCGTCATTGGCAATAAGAAGACAAAATCATTGGTATATTTTTATTTACGAGGCAGTGTTTGGATTGTTACCTCCTTATATTTGCACTTTAATCACACGAAAAAAATGTTGATTCCTATTCTTTAAGGTCTAACGATCAGTTGCTACTTTCTGTTCCTTTTGCTCGCACACAGTTAGGAAAGAGCCTTCGCCTGCTCTCCTCCTTCTGCTTGGAACCAGCTGCAGAAAACCTGGAAAAGGACTGAGCAGGTTTCACTAAATGCCTTTAAAACCTAACTGAATGCTTCAGAGACTGCATTAGTAACTTGTAACTGCTTTTAATGATTGAGTGTTTTATCATTGTCATTACGTTGTAGCTGTTTGTATTTTTTGCTGCCTCTTGGCCAGGACACCTTTGTAAAAGAGGTTCTTAACCTCAATGGGTCTCTATCCTGGTTAAATAAAGGTTAAATAAAAAAATAAAAACCACACACTTTCACTTAAGAGCACTCCTGACTCATAAATCATGCAAGAAAAAAGTGGCTTTTAAGTAAACGAACATGGTGGAGCATGCTGCACGCTTCCATTACCTCGCTTTCTGATTGGCTAAACATCATGTTCAAATGGTAGCAAGTTTGATGGTCCTCGAAAATCAGCCCAAGATAATCCAACATGTTTCAAAACCCGGATTTATAGATGGAGTGGTCCTGATGTCCTTCAGAAAGAACCAGAGTGCTCCTAACACACCACACATTTTAGGCAAAACTGAGCAGCTTTATCTGTTTAACACGGGGGTCGGCAACCCGCGGCTCTGGAGACGCATGCGGCTCTTCCATCCATCTGATGCGGCTCTCTGTGCTTGTAGAATAATGACTGGATATTTAAATAAAATGCTTTATATTTTACTGCATTCATTTTACATCTGTATGCCAATTCTAAATGTAAAGATTGTCTGCGTAAACCTGAACAGGTCCAACCCGGTCTTACTGTGAGACCGGGTTGACGGGTCACGCTTGTGCGTAATCGTAGGCGCTTTCTGAGCTGAAGAGGATTTGAGATTCTGGGATTCTCCTCAGACGGCTCCTGGATGTGTCGCCACATTGGAGACAGGAACAAGCGCTATTCAGCCAAAGTTTCATAATCAGGGAACATTTTCTAAGTGACAAGTCTCGCTTCAGTCGGAGGAATCTTCCTGTATGCGTTCTGGTTCTGCAACACGCTCCAAGCCCCTCTCCACATCTTCAGCTCGCTGTGCACCGTACGTACGCGCTGACAGCGAGCTGCGCTGAGCAGTGTCCAGCTCAGATGTTCAGATGGGAATCTTGTCTTGAGTGATTTAGCTACATCTGCGATGTGCCTAACGAATAAAATGTCAGTTCGTCTGCATGCGTCGGAGTAATTCTTTCTATTCATTCTCCGTCAAAATAAACGTTCAAATACGGGAACTGTCCGGTCAACACAAGCCCTGCTTTTAACTGTTCTGTTTTCTTGTGAAAATTGTTGCAAAGAGATAAAATTAAACTTGATTAACACCAGAGCCATGCGCACTGCGCCGTTATCTCCGTCACTGTAAATGAGGGAAAAACGAATTGATCGGATCCTTTTCTGACCTTCCCCACCTACAAAGTTTAATTACAACAATCAAACGTGACAGAGCCTGGATTTGTATTCTGAACAGTCTAAACATGTTTTAAAAAGAAACGTATGACAAAAGTGACACCTGCTCAGTAAAACCACCAACAGGGTGAAAAATATCAAAATATTGTAGGCTGAGACGGGCTACAACTTCTGGATCCATTTTATATGAATCGTTTTATTGATTATCGTCTTATGAAAGATAACTTTGACGTACACGAGCGACCGGTACTGGCTGCTGTCACCTGTTGTGATTGGTTAAAGCAGCTCTCTGCTGTCAGAGGGTAGGCCCCGCCCACAACGTCGCGGCTGGTGTGGCTCCCAGTGTTTTCTTTACTATGGGAAACGGGTAATAATGGCTCTTTGATGGGAACAGGTTGCCAACCCCTGGTTTAACACATTTCATGTAGAAGCAATTCAATGGGCTTTCCAGGTGCAAGAACAGTAATGAAAAAAAGAGAAACATTCATTCAAAGGCTGATGAATATATGCAATTTTTCAATTTTGATTATCTAGGATTATCTGATAAGTTTATCTTTAGAGCCTTTACGAAAATCGTGCACAAACTTGAGATTGTTGAAATGGGCGTGGCTAGTGGAAAGGTGGCATGACTTCCCTGCTTAAGAAGCTGGATTTAAAGTTTAGTTAGAAGTTTTATTATCCATCTTTTTAAGTTTAGAACTTGTTTTGTGTTAGCAAAAAAAAAAAACTGTTTCAGAATTTTGTAATATAATTTAGACCAAACTTTTACATGTAAAATAAAACTTTAATAATGATCCTAAATAGTGTCAGTTATTCAAAATAAAAAAGGTCTAATATTTACCCAATAACTTAATACACGCCCATCGTTATCTGAATTTCGTTTAGATGAACTTGTGTATTTTCTCAAAGTGCATTCTTCTAAAAGAACTTTACTTCTCTCAGCTTTTTGCTAAAAATCAATGGTAAAAAATAAATTTGCATGAAAATATGCCACAAAACGTGTGCGACAGTTCTACAAATAAATGATTATACAATTCTAATTATTAAAGGTCCAATTCACTCATATTTTTAGAACATTTGCTGTGGTCTCTAGCAGAAATGAATGCCTTGTAAGTCGTCCTCTGAGGAAAAAATGTTCCAGTACTCCTGATTGAGGACGTAAGGTCAAGGTCAGCTTTATTTATATAGCCCATTTACGGTTGCTCACGCAACCTAAAGTGCTGTACATGACAACGCCCCTATATGAAAGCACACCCGAAAATAAAACATATTAAAATATTAAAAGTATACAAATAACAAGAAAAAAATAATACCCGAAAAGTAAAACAAAAACTACAAGATCAAGTAATAAAACTACAGCAAACTAGATAAAAGGTAAAAGAATCTCTGTACAGATCAACCAATATCAGAAGCCAGGTGAGAGAAATACTTAAAATTCTGGGCCAGCCACTAAAAAAAGATCAATCCCTTGAGGCGAGCCTTCGGGATCCCGAACAGTGACTGAGAACTGGACCACAAATTCCTGACAGGTGTAGATGGTCAGTAGATCATCTATGTAGGGCGGGGCTAGGCGATGGAGAGATTTAAAAACAAAGAGTCATTAAAGGTGATCTTGTAACGTACTGGAAACTACTGAAGGGTAGGAAGCACTGGGGTCTTATTTCCTGATATTTTGGACATCTTGTCTCTGACTGGGTAGCAGCTACATGACTGTACCACTGACTCTGCTCTACAACACTGATGTTTTATCTCCACAAATAACACAAGCCTGAGGGAGTTCTGCTGTGTGGAGGAGTTGCTAATGCTAACAGTTAGCTCCTACTAGCCAAGACGTTCCCTGTGGTTTCCTGGACGCTAAACCAACAACAGCCTTCCCTGTTGTGAGTCAAGATGGTTGAGTCCATGAATCTTAAGCGACAGTGTGACGTACACTCACCTAAAGGATTATTAGGAACATCATACTAATGCGGTGTTTTACCCCCTTTCACCTTCAGAACTGCCTTAAATCTACATGGCATTGATTCAACAAGGTTCTGAAAGCATTCTTTAGAAATGTTTACCCACATTGATAGGATAGCATCTGGTAGTTGATAGAGATCTGTGGGATGCACATCCAGGGCACGAAGCTCCCGTTCCACCACATTCCAAAGATGCTCCATCGGGTTGAGATCTGGTGACTGTGGGGCCGTTGTAGTACAGTGAACTCATTTTCATGTTCAGGAAACCAAGTTGAAATGATTGGAGCTTTATGACATGATGCATTATCCTGCTGGAAGCAGCCATCAGAGGATAGGTACATGGTGTTCATGAAGGGATGGACATGGTCAGAAACAATGCTCAGGAAGCCCGTGGCATTTAAACCATGCCCAGTTGGCACTAAGGGGCCTAAAGTGTGCCAAGAAAACATCCCCCACACCATTACACCACCACCACCAGCCTGCACATTGGTAACAAGAGATGATGGATCCATGTTCTCATTCTGCTTACGCCAAATTCTGACTCGACCATTTGAATGTCTCAACAGAAATTGAAACTCATCAGACCAGACAACATTTTTCCAGTCTTCAATTCTCCAATTTTGGTGAGCTCGTGCAAATTGTAGCCTCTTTTTCCTATTTGTGTTGGAGATGAGTGGTACCCGGTGGGGTCTTCTGCTGTTGTAGCCCATCCACCTCAAGGTTGTGTGTGTTGTGGCTTCACAAATGCTTTGCTGCATTCCTCAGTTGTAACAAGTGGTTATTTCAGTCAAAGTTGCTCTTCTATTAGCTTGAATCAGTCGGCCCATTCTCCTCTGACCTCTAGCATCAACAAGGCATTTTCACCCACAGGACTGCCACATACTGGATGTTTTTCCCTTTTCACACAATTCTTTGTAAACCCTAGAAATGGTTGTGGGTGAAAATCCCGGTAACTGAGGAGATTGTGAAATATTCAGACCGGCCCGTCTGGCACCAACAACCATGCCACGCTCAAAATGGCTTAAATCACCTTTCTTTCCCATTCTGACATTGTTTTGAGTTCAGGAGATTGTCTTGACCAGGACCACGCCCCTAAATGCATTGAAGCAACTGCCATGTGATTGATTGACTAGATAATTGCATTAAGAAGAAGTTGAACAGGAGTTCCTAATAATTCTTTGAGTGTAGATCTGTGAGGATTTTCAAATTGTAGCGTTTCACCATCAATTTTCCATCAGAAGCGAATGCAGGAGATGGGTGTTGGAGACTACTTTCATGTTCAGTCAGCATGAAAACTCAAAAGTGACCGAAAGTTGTTTTTTTCCAGTGAAGTTGACCTTTAATGATGTTGTGAATCTAATTCGAGCAGCACATGTGAAGAAACCCACAAAAAGCAGTAGCTGAAGCTTTTATGTCGTTAGAAATGACCTCTTGCATAAAAGCAAAAGGTGCTGAACTAATCCTTTGTTAGCAGAGATAACTAATCAGAGCTAGTGTTACACAACAGGCACCAAAGATAACAAAGTGAACACATGTAAAGATATCACCCTCATTTAAGTGAAATATTTACTTTTAGGACCTGTAAAATGTATTTTAAAAGTTACAGTTGAACAGAAATAGAACATATTCACACATCTGAACTAAAAAGAGAAACTAAAATGATATAAATCCATGAGTTTATTAAAACATTTACATTAGTTTAAAAATAATCATAAAGCACTTTCAGATAAAATGTCACATTTTCATCAACAAGCTGCCAAAACATTTCCAGTAAAATTGTAGAGTTTTGTTTTAAGTATTTGCAAACATGGAGCAGATTTCAGCTCATTTTCCTTGCTGCTCAGACCACTCTAAATATCCTCCTCTGTAGTGTCTTGCCCTAGAAGAAAAAAGAAGAAAATGATGAAAACGATCAGTTATATTTGAATTATAGATGCAGGTGTGAATCTGCAGCTTTTTACTTGTGAAATCCCAGCTGATGAGCAACGGCCAGTGCTTTGGAACTCCTGACACCTGATCTGCAGTGAAACACGATGTTGTCGTCATCTTTTCCTGGAGCTTTGACTTCAAACGTCTGCAGGAAATGCTCAGGTGACAGCTTCAGGGACTCGTCCAGGGTGTCGACTTAAATAAAGACACATAGAGGAAATGTTTAAGTAGATTTACCTGCTTTGAGACAAGATTGTTGGTGTTAGGACCTACGGGGGATGTTGACAGCCTGTGGAATGCGACCGGCCTGGTATTCATCTGGGGTTCTCACATCAAACAGCTGAATGTTGTGATTAGACAGCATGGTCTTCAGCTGTGAGAGGGTGACCACTGATGCTTCTGTGGAGAAAATACTCATAAATGTCAGAAAAATACAGAGAAATTAGATGAAACCCGAGACTTCTGTTAGCTAAAACATTCAAACACACCATCCATTACTGTAACTGTGACTCGAAGCTAGCTGCTGCATTCAAGCCTTTTATAAACATAACCAACCCACTGAAAATGCATTGTTTTCTATGTGAAACAAAATGCTAAACTCAACTAAAACTGTTGAAAACAAACACAATGTCCCCCAAACAGCAACTAACAATAACACAAGTCTGTCAGCACATATTAGCATTAAAACAAAATGCTAACGAGTGTAGGAGATTCCTCAAGGACATAGCCCATAAATCAGAGTGTTTAGTTTTTATTTACCATGTTCTTTTACATGATGTTCCTGGCATGTTGGAGAGGAGGTTGTGAAAGTCCGAATAAACGAGGAGACAGTCGGATAAGACCTTTGGTTGACTTCGATCACAGCCTGGCAAAAACCTCTGGAAAGCAGGAAGGAGAGCATTATCACCGGGACCGGTACAAACGGAGTCTCGCATAATAAAATCATGACGTCCTATTTATGTCGCTACTGTACAGCGTCCTGACGTGAATAAATTCTTCTTCTATGGAAATTTATGTGTTCGGCACGTTCTTCTTCTATGGATTTATAGGATCCGTTGAGTTGCAACAGCGCTCCCTCTGGTTGTACAGGTTTTGTTCCTTCATATCATTTCCACTAGCTAAAAATAAAATAATAAAATAAAATAAAACAAAATACAGTATTTATATTTTTGTTTTAGCCATTTTTACTTGCTTTGATTTTTTTGCAATTAAATTATTACAATTTGTTACATGATATCTTTAGCAACTAGATGATTTTTCTTCTCCTAACCAAAACAAACAAACAAACAAACAAACAAAAACAAAAGCAAACAAACAAACAAAAATATATTAGTCTCTTATTATTGCATGCAAGTTTTACTTGCAGACTTATTTGAGAAAATAACAAATCTATATCAGCCAAACTTAGAATTACTTTCAATTCAATTCAATTCAATTCAATTCAAAAATATTTTATTAATCCCAGAGGGAAATTGATTGCTGTAGTAGCTCAGAATAATAATAATAATAATCAAGTCATCAAAGAGTTATTGTATATTACAATGGCTGTTGGCAGGAAGGATCTCCAGTAGCGGTCAGTGTTGCAGCGAAACTGAAGAAGCCTCTGACTGAAGATACTCTTCCGTTGTCGGACAGTCTTGTGAAGAGAATGCTCAGGGTTGTCCATAATTTTCTTGATTCTCTGGAGAATCCTTCTTTGCATTATCTCCAGTGGTTCCACAGTCGTCCACTGAACAGAACCAGCCTTTTTTATTAGGCTGTTGAGCCTTTTCAGGTCCCTGCTTCTGATGCTGCTACCCCAACAGACGATGGCTGAAGAGATGACACTCTCAACAACAGACTTGTAGAAGATCTGCAGCATCTTGCTACAGACACTGAAGGACCTAAGCGTTCTCAAGAAGTGCAGTCTGCTCTGTCCCTTCTTGTAAACGACATTGCTGTTCTTTCTCCAGTCCAGTCTGTTGTTCAAGCGAACTCCAAGGTATTTGTATTCCTCAACCACCTCCACTTCTTCTCCCATGATGGAAACAGTGTTTGACTCCACCCTGTTTCTTCTGAAGACTAAAATCATCTCCTTTGTTTTGTTCACGTTCAATAAAAAGTTGTGATTTTATGCAGTCATTCCTGCAGATAAGTTAGGATAACTTCAAAATGAGTTTTTTCCATGTCTGAATTCATAATCTTGTAAATTTTTTAACAAGATCCTCTGAGATTAACCCAATTATATCCTGTTTATGACATTCTACAAATGTTGGTTTGTATTTTAAAACATTGTGTTATAAATCACTTTTTTAATTTCCTCTTACAAAATCCTGAAGGTTCTAGTAATAGAAAAAACACCAAAGAGCCCAAATTACATTTCTCCATTATAAAAATGTATTCGGAACAGAACTCTTCCCAGATTTCTTAAAATATCTGTCCAATTTTCTTTTTTTAAAACAAAAGTTTTGTATTGTTGACTTTTTTAATTGCAATTTGCACCTAATTAACTCATCTTTTGGGTCCTTTGCTGTTCATGCTTTTCAGCGCTCTTCCATTTTTTAACTCACAGCTGTGCAGATGACATTTTGTTGTTTCTAGTCAAAAATGAGATTTGAGCATTTATGGATGTGCTTTAAAAAGAAAGAGATGCAACAAAATTCATTTATTAGTCAAACAATAAAATACAATAATAAGACTTTCTCAGTAAGACAAGAAAAACATTTAAAGTTAAAGTCACATTAGTCATCGCACACTGGTGAAATTCATCTCCACATTCGACCCAGCCAGGTGGGGAGTGGTCAGCAGCAGCTGTGGCTGTGCTCGGAAACTATTAACCCACCTTAAAGCTGAGTGTCAAGCAAAGAGTCCTTGGATCCCATTTTTTAAAGTCTTTGGTATGACCTGACTGGGATTTGAACCCCAATCTCACAGTCCCAGGCTGGACACTGTACCTCAGTAGAGCCTTGGTATTGGCTTCTTTAGCTAGATGTGTTAATCTATCACCTCAACTCAAAAAATTACAGTTACTCTCTGGTGACGTCTTGATTAATTTCATCAACCCTTATGAGCTAAATTGCAGTAATTCCAAGACGGGATTACTGTAATTCATTACTCTCAGGATGTGACAGCAGTGTCTGTCACCTCATGGACATGGTCTGCTGGTAGTGTTTTCTGTGTTCTGTCCAGGATGACTGGTTGATGTGCACACAATCAGTCTTCTGTTTATGAATGTATGTGTTAATTTTGTATTTCTATTTTGAGTTACCAGTGACTTGGAGTTTCCCATGGAGTCTCACACCTGCAGCTCATCTCAGGAAGCCTAATGGGCACTCCTGGGATCTACCAACTCCCAAGGGAGGGGAGATTCATGTTTATGGTTGTGTTTAATTTAATGTAGATGTTTTCTGTTATGGATAGGAAGTTTGTAATTATGATTTAGTTATTTGAGTTACCTGAATTGATTAGACTGGTTAGTTTGTGTGTGTGTGAGGATGTGTGTGTTAATTGTATGTTAATTGTTCCCCTCTTGTATGTAGAGTGGTCTGATCAGCCACTATTTAAGTTGAACCTGGTGTGTCTGAAATGTCTTTTGTTTTCTGGAGATGGTCTTGTGCTGTGATTGGGTTAAAGTCTCTGTTACCTGTGAAGCTGCTCCAAAATAAAATGGAGGTTTTTGAGTCTCATGAGTAGTGCGTCTCTGGCTGGTTTGGGCAAGTCCCTGACAAGTGGTGGCAGAGGTGGGATCTTGCTAGCCATGAGTACGTGTTGGATTAGTGAGACCCAGGGAAGAAACCATGCAACAAGGAACAGGTGGCCGAGGATCACAAAACCATCAGCTCTCCAGGTCAGTGTTGTTCCTTCTCAGAGCCTGGACTGGAAAAGTTACCAGACACTGACAATGAACATTTCCTAATCAATTTTGAGAGGATTGCAGCATCCTGTAATTGGCTGATGGCTGACTGGGTTTTCCACCTTGTACCACTGCTCACTGGGAAAGCCAGGAGTGCCTACGTACACATGGACATTGAGGAGGTACGTGACTATGAGTCTGTTAAGGCAGCGCGTTGGCTGAGGTATTTGTCACAGCGAGGCACAAGGGACAACCCTGGAGTTACACCGCTTGGAAGACTTCCAAAAAGAGGGCTAATCGGAGATCCCCATATGGACATGCAGCCTGGGAAACTAAGCAAGTCCCGTCAACAGCGAAGGCGGGAGAAGTTTCTACATACTGCGAGGATGTCTAAGGAGGACCTGAGAGAGAGCCCGGGGAGATGGGAGTGGACACAGAATGTAGTTAAAAGTCTTCAGCTTGTCCAAAACGCTGCAGCTAGAGTTCTGATGAGAATTAAAAAGAGAGATCATATCTCTCCTGTCTTAGCTTCCCTACATTGGCTACCTGTTAAATTCAGAATAGATTTTAAGATCCTTCTTCTCACATATAACACTCTTAATAATCAAGCTCCATCATACATCAGTGACCTGATTGCTCCATACGTTCCTAGCCGAGCACTTTGCTCTCAGACTGCAGGTCTACTGGTGGTTCCCAGAATGTCTAAAATTAGGATGGGAGGCAGATCTTTTAGTTATCAGGCTCCTCTCCTGTGGAACCAGCTCCCAGCTTTAGTCCGTGAGGCAGACACCTTGTCTACTTTTAAGAATAGGCTTAAAACTTTATTTGATAGGGCTTATAGTTAAAATCTGATGTTAGCCTAAATCTGGACAAGTGGGGGAGTAGAGGGAGGTGGAGTGTACAGTCGGTAAAGACGCCTCTCCCTTGCCCTGCCTCCAACATACCTCCATCTAAAAGGCTAGGTTATCCAGAGTTATCTCTGTAGTTATGCTGCTATAGGCTTAGATTGCTGGAGGATACACTGACCACTTTTCACTCTCGACTACTTTCTTCTACAATCTGCTCTTTAACTGTATTATTTCCTGTTATTTCAGCTGTTAACTTTCTTTTTTCTCTAGGTGTTTTTCTCCCCAGAAGAAGCTACAATGATGTTCTGCTGAGCTGTGGTGTCCTCATGGAGGGGGTCATCGTCTAGCACACTGCTGCTAACCACTAAAACATTCTCCCTCTCCTGATAACTTTTTACTTTCTTTGACATTGGATGTGTTACTTGATAGGTAATTTTTCATTTATCCCATATTACCTTAAAGGACGACACACAGAGAGAGAGTAGATTATTCGTAATGTCCATGAATCGTCATGCGAGAGCTGGGCGCAGAAACCCCCTCCATGGAGCTAACCAGCCCCCCTCTGCTCCGGACAAAGCCTTCAGCTCACTAGCTCTCGATGTCCGCATTCTCCACCAAAATGTTAGGTAATTAAATGTTAGGTAATATTTAATCTCCATAACCCTGGAACCTGAAATCAACACACATAACAGAAAGAGAGACATTTTACCCTGAGTCCCCAAAATAATGGAGAGTTAACACAGAGGAACCTCCTCCGAGGCTGTCCCCACGTCACTCCCCCGTGTCCTTAGTTTCCCAGGGGTTTTATTTAGCAAAGGATGGAGAAGGCGGGGCCTTCTCAGGTTACAGAGGTACAGAGTTTTCAGTTGGAAACCCACAATCAAAATCCTTGACTGCAAATGATCTACTCTGCTTAACCTTTCATGAACAGCCACAGTTGGCAAACACAGAGATTCATGAAGAGTTAATAAAACAAATTGGGCGTCTTCTAGGCCTCAAAAAGATACAGTTATAAAAATCCCAACACTACTGCTAATTATAGATCCACTAGGATAAATACAATAAAGTTAATCTCTCACCAAATAGAATATTTACTAAGAAATCACAATGTAACCATAGAAACATTACTTTGTGTGTGTGTGTGTGTGTGTGTGTGTGTGTGTGTGTGTGTGTGTGTGTGTGTGTGTGTGTGTGTGTGTGTGTGTGTGTGTGTGTGTGTGTGTGTGTGTGTGTGTACTCTGTCTTCTCGATCCCCAGTGAGTCGTGGAGGATGGCTGCTTATACTGAGCCAGGATCCTCTGGAGGTTTCTTCCTGTTAAAAAGGAGT